TCCCATGCCAAGTTCAGTTCTGTGCCAGCTCCGGCTAGCACCACCTTCCGTGTTGTCACGTTGTGGATTTGCTTTGGTTTGCTGTTCTGCCCCGTTGGGCTAATAAATAGCAGAGCTTGCTCCCTGAGCTGGACCTTCTGTGTCTTTTTCCTGGACTCCTGCAACTGTCCGCGCTCGTGGAACCCACGAAGGCCCTGGCCAAAGCTGCCTTGCAGTCCAGCGGCCAGAGCCTTAGCCTGCCCGCCTTGCGATCGGCTGCGGCTAGCTAGGGCTGCCTAGGGAAGATCGGTCGGAGTCTTCCGGAGCGAGGCAGCGGCACCCATAGATGTGCATTTTGGGCTCACAATGAGTGATTTTCAGATAGCACAGTATTGTATTTCCATTTGGAATTTCACAGTTCTTAGCTGTCACATTTGGGAACATAACCCCAGATAAGAGCAGGAATGATCCATTACTGAAAAAGCTGGCTTAAGCTGATATGCAGGCAATTCCACTGGCCTTGACCTTTTCTAAAATGCATGGCAAAACTTTTATTTCCCTCCCATCAGCTGTTTCTGGCTGGTTTTGTTTATTTGCCTTTGTAGACTAGGAACTATCTGGGGCAATGTCTGTGCTGTGTTTGGTCCTTCCCTGTCAAGACACACAAATTGTTGTGAGTCAAATGATGTCTTCATTTGCATTCACGCTTAGCTGTGCTTCAGCAGCTTTGCTGGGTGGAAATGGAAGGAAGATTTAATTCCAGAGACTACAGATCTCTGTGAATGTTTGAATATCCTATAAATCTGTGAGTTTTGTCCAGTAATAAGTGCCTTGAGCATACAAAATTAGAAGGGAAATGAAAGACTGTAGTAATATATAGAGGGTACCACTGATCCAGGTAGATACTGAGTGTTTGGCATTTAAACCCCTCTGTGGCTTTGGATGTTGTGTGGTCTACATCCATTTCCCCAAGGGAGATTTGGTCAAGTGTCTGTTTTTATAGGAAGTTAATAGCAAGTACAGTTTTCTATGGCCGTCAATGAAGCAAGGTGGATGAGTCCTATCAAACTAGAATGAAGATGGTATGGTAATAAAGGAACTTTCATAAAGAAAATGTCTGCAAAATGTGAAACACAATAGGAGCGACTCCAGAGAGATGAACTTACTGTAAGTGTTCACGGAGAGGCTGGATTGTGCCTTGCAGCAACCAGCACGTCTCCTCTTCTGTTTGCTGCCTTCTGCACTTGACAGACAGGCAGCTGAGGAAAACAGCTCTCATCCAAGTGCAGGGTCATTTGTCCCCCTGGTTCTGTGAAATTCAAATTCCTCAGGAACTAATTTCTTTCTGCTTTAAATGACAGGGAGCCGGGTTACTGTGGCAGTTCAAGGGAAGAATATCTCACACCCTATAGGGGGAAACACAGACATATTTCCAAGCTGTGGGTAGCTTCCTCTGTGCCTGGTCTTGCTCAGAATTTATTTCCTTGCTTTATTAATTATTTGTACATTATTCCAGGTCCCTCCCATCTGGTCTGAATTCATGCCCATCCGGGCTGTAAAACTTCAGAAATCTTGCCTATTCTTTTCCCTGTTTTCACAGCTTGTTTAGTCAATATACTGCTTGTTCCAATAAAATTTGTTTTTCTTATGCATCAGTAGGTAGGCATTTCCCTAATCAGTTTCATCTTTTTCTTTCAAATCTTAATTTACTGCAGGCTGAGATTCCTTAGATCATACAGATTTGCAGTGACCACTCTGGAGGTGTGATAGCAGTGGAACAACAAATGGAAATGAAGGACACCTGCAGCATCCCTAAGCTACACTTTGGCAGCCCCCATTGAAATGGCACAGGGTGCAGAACCTTCTTGTCAGTATCATTGCTGCCAGCACTTCTGACCCTATGCAGAGCATGGAAGAGTTCCCACTGACAGCACTGAGTGCCATGTAAAGCCTTTTTTTGTGTGAGCTTGCCTGATGTAGCATCCTGGGATGAAATCCCACAACATCCTCTCTGCCTACTACTGCTGCTTTAGAGTAGCTGCCTATTTGGCCAGTCACTTCTACCTCTCTTGGCAAGTGGGGTGCACAGAGGAAGAGAGTTAACAAGATGAAGTGTTTCCAGCATCCTGGCAGCTCACATGTTCAGGAGAGAGGAATGTGGCTGCCTTTCAGTGCATCCCAGCCATTTGCAGTTGGTGCATCAGCCACTTGGAGTAGCTCTCATTCAGTTGTGCTGTGATGGGGAGGCGGTGAGAAGCAGAGAAAAAATGGTGGCTACTGAGTCCTGAAAGACAAGCTCAGCTATAACCAAGCAGTCTCAGAAGCCAGTCAGGTGGGAGGCACTCACAAGGCGTGGAAGAAGGTATGCAGGCATCTGCCTGTGCCTGAGCAAAGGTGTGCTGAGGGGCCACAGGACTGCAGGAGTAGGCAGGTCTTCACCTTCAGGGGAAGAAGGTCCTTCTGTACTGAACACAGGATGTTATGAATGGCTGGACTGCAGATGAACACTTGCCATGGATACAACAGTGTGAATAAATTCAAACTGTCTTGTCTCTTATGGGACTTGAGACTGTGTGAGATACTCTGACCAGGGTGCCTTGAAGCTGATGGGGAAAGGAATATTGTCCTTGAACCACTTTTCTGGCATAGACAAATAAGGAGTGATCTCCCTTCAGTAGGGAGGTAGTGGGAGCCTTCCAACATGCACAGAAAAAATGGATTAGTTTTATTGTTCCCAGCACAAACATTCCTTTGAAAGTTCTCCTGCACATTCACAGCATGGCAAAGCTGCTAGTGAAGCAAGTGCTAAATCAAATTCATGACTTTTCTCACACAGCCATGAGAAAAGGCACAGTTATACTGGAAAAAGCAACACCATCAGCCCCTGCAGATGAGAAAGACTGATTTACACCCCCTCTCACACCTATGTGGCCTCAGCAACAGCATTGGAATTGTATAAGCAGTATTTCATCACTATTTGGTAGTTTCTTAGTTATGGACATAATTAGTAGTAATTCTTGGACAATTTATCAAGAGAATTATGATAAGAAATACAAGAACAGGAATCAAGGTGTATTTGAAAAGAAAAGATTGTTTTACTGGCTTCTCTAACAGGTTAGTGGAAAAATTACCTCTGCCTATGGAGACTTTGCATTTACCAGATGTTTGATATTTGAGACTCCTACAGGTGGCTTTTAAAGAGGTGAATTAGACATGATAAGTTTCAGAGTAAATAATTTCTGTTACTTATTTGAAACATGATCTGGTATTTGCAGAATAATTAATGATGACTCTAGCACAGTGGCTTTAAAGAGTCTTCAACAATGTCCATCACTCAAATAGGTTAGGAAACATAATCCTATCTATACCTATGAAACAAATACTTTGGCTGTGCTTGTCATCATCCATTCATAAACTGAAAAGCTGAAACTGATGAAGCTGGAAAAAAAAAAAAACACTTCTAGAAATGGGAAGTTGAAACATTTCAACACATCTAAGATGAATTTATTTTACTATCCATTGCAGGTGAACAAACACCCTATCAACACCTCTTACCTGAAGTATGAAATTCACAGTAATAAATCTCAGATTGTTTCCAACAGCAATGCAATATTTCCATGAGGCTGCTCTATCCATAGTAAATAGGTAACTATGGAGACTGATGAACATTTAGCTGCAATCAGGGAAGAAAGAGTGGGAAAATCAAAGTTTTCTTTTCTCATTTGCATGCTTAGGGTATGCTTATATATGCTGATTTTTAACAGCTGTCTGCATCAGTTGAAGTGTGCACCCAAGCCAGGTCTAAAATCTGCAAATCCCACCTCAGGGAATTTTCAGGGAAAGAAATTAGTCACTGTAATGCTAAAAACTCCACTAACCTGATCCAGAGAGAGACCTTAGAAGGAAGAAACACTTCTTGAATACATATATATTTCATGCTTATTATTTCCAGTCTATATGGGCAAGGAAAAATATATGGCTTGTGAGCTTAACACCTGCTGCAGCACTGCAGAGCAAAATGCAGAGGCTGAGGAGAACAGCATGAGGGGGGCTTTCATCACTTGCTGCTGCTGGGCCTCCTTGCTCAGAGGCCTGAGCTGGGAAGATTGTTGGGGAATATATTTACTTTTGTATTCCTGAGTTGTTTCTCATTCAGTGGGAGCTCTGAACATGTGCTGTACCCATAGAGCCCCACTGACATCCATGGGGTAAAAGTACAGAAATCAGCCTTGCTAATGTAATCTCTTTTGTACTGCTGTCATCAGCTGAGAACAAAAGCTCAAACAGAGAGATCCTAAGTTGAGTGTGATCACAGCAGCTAAAAACTAAACAGGTGAATTTTGCAGCATTTAAAAAGTCACCTGCTGAGCAACAGGAGGTATAGATTTGCAGCAGGCTGCTGTGAGTTGTGTGTGAAGTGGGAGGCATGGCGTGTTCACCTCATGGGTTTGTGCCAGTGGGTGCTGCACTTTTAGGGATAAATAACTAGTCATGCTTAACCATGAGAATTAAACTGAAAGGGATTCAAAGGAAACAGAGCTTGAAAATAATCCTGAAAGAGGGTAGAGATCAAGTGGTAGGATCCTACAAGCCAATGGGATGCATGAATATGCCTAATTTTCTATCTGCAGTTGACTACAACCTCTTCATTCAGCTTTGACCTCTGCACCTTCAGGTGAACACAAATATAAAGACAGCATGTGACTGGTATGGACCACATCACTCCAGGTAAGCATTTTCCCTGTGGAAATTGTGCTTCTGAGACTCTGTGTCTTATTTTACATCTCAGTGAGCTCCATACTTGCAGCTGTTTAGTGGATTAGTGGAAGATGTTTCACTGGCATTCTTAACAGATATTTTTCTGGAAGCTCTCCCCTCTAGACACACAAGTCTGAGCTAGTATTCCTGCTCTGGTTTTCCCCCTCCTTTGTAGCTGGTGGGTGGAAACTGGAGCACAGATGGATGACTCCCTGCTCTATGGAGCACATTGACCTGGGACAAACCAATTTCCATTTCTCACTGCTGACACTTGAGTCAGCTGATGCAAGAATTTCGGTTGCAGGCATGCACGCTCTGTCAGCAGACTACACCTTTGGACCTGCTCAGGTCTCATTTCTAAGGCTGTGTTTAACCCGTCTGCAGCCTCAGGCTGTTTCCATGTTCATTTACACAGTAGAAGGTGAGAATGTAAGTCTCAAGGTAAATTCTATAGTTTTCTACCTGAAATTCTCCTTGTTATCAGGATCTGTTGCTCAGACAGAAAAATTGTTAACCAAGTCCTTTCCACTTGCATAATTTAGCACTCAAATTCTCACTCCAGAGTTTTTGCAGCAGATACTTCTCATTAATAACACATATACAGCCTCAGCATCATTAGGATGGCATCTAGCTAGAGGTCATCCCAAATTCTTTCTTTCATGAAACAGTTCTCCTTGGTGAAAGCTCATTCTGCCTACCTGTGTACCTCTGGTATTTAATTATTAATGGCTTCAACTATTCTTTTCTTAAGTAATGCAGACACAAGGATTAGTCTGGGATCCTTGCTTCCATAATTTCTTGTATACATATTTCAATATATTTATATATATACCTACGTACATTAGCTATACACATATATATATTCAGTATATATATATATATAAATATAAGAGTCAGCTAAATATTCACAAGTCTAGTCAGCCTGACAGGATTCATCCCAGATATTGAAAGACTTAATGAATATTATGTCAGTACTGCTCTCAACCATCTACCAAAGGTCTTGGGAGTCTGGGAAGGTCCCTGCTGACTCGAAGTTGGCCAGTGTTATTCCAATTTACAAGAAAAGACCTAGGCAACTACAGACCTGCTAGTCTAACCTCAGTTCCATGAAGAAATGTGGAGAAGATCATATAGGGTGCTACTGAAAGGCATTGAAAGAGCAATGCAATGATCAGGCACAGTCAACACGGTTTCACAAAGGGAAAGATGTTCTACTGACTTGACAACTGCAATAAGGAAACCCACCTAGTAGATGAAGGGAAGGCAGTGGATGGAATTTTTCTAGATTTTAATAAGGCTTTTGATAGTGTCCCTTACAGAATCCTTTTGGACAAGTTGTCCAGCTGTGGGATGAGTGGATTCACAGTGTGCTGGGTGGATTCTAGGGCTCAAACAATTGTAGTGAATGGGGCTTCATTTGACTGGTGACACTCACCAGTGTTGTTCCTCGGGATTCACCTCCAGGACTAGTCTTATTCAATGTATTTATCAATGAGCTGGATGCAGGAGTTGAATGCTCCATTGGCAATTTTGTTGATGATACCAAACTGGGAGGTATTATTTACTCTATTGAGGGGCAAGAGATAGGGTCCCTCAAACCTTCATCAGGGATGCTCAAACTTGATATTAGGAAGCACTTCTTTACCAAGAGTGTGATCAAACACTGGAACAGGTATCTTATTGTGGTGGGTGATGCCCCAGAGCCTGTCAGTGTTTAAGATGCTTTTGGATAATGCCCTTAATAATACGCTTTAATTTTTGGTCAGTCCTGAAGTGTCTGGGCACTTGGATTAGAGAATGGATTGTTGCTGATTCCTTTTACTGACCTATTCTATTCTATGCTATGCTATATTATTCTATTCTATTCCAGTTTTGGAGGGGTTGGAAAACCTGTGCCCTACAGAGCATGATCTTGATAACAAACACACATAAATTTGACCTGCAGCATGACTACACTTCGTTTTATTTACGTGCTCTTCCAAACAGCAAAGATTTTATGAACAGAGCATTTTGTCATGCAGCTACCTCCCCACTGTCTGCTGAGATATGAAGCTTAGTGGAGAAAGTAACTATGCTTCCTCTGCAGGGATATCTGCTGGGTGACTGCTCTGATGTCTTTATTTCTCCATTTAGATTTGTATTGCTGAGATATTATTTTTATAAATCACTGATGTGATCCTCTGCTCTCAAAATTGAGCTTTCAACACAAGCCAAGTGAAATACCATCAAACCCATCACTACTTGCAGTGATTTCCTTGTAGAGGGTTTGAAGAGCAGCCTGCTTGCATGCTGCCCTGGCAGCCACTCATGCAACACCAGAGGATACCTGGGGGTTGGAAACAGCTCACACAATCCCCCTTTCTATAGCTAATTTATCTAATGGATCCAAGGTGAGGTCTGAAGTCTTAAGGACCATTAACTTCACACTGTTTCCAGCTCCTCACCCTCTGAACATGCACACACATATCAGCATTTATATCCAGACCCACCAGTTTCCTGAGGATGCAGCTGTGCCATTTATGTCCACCTTTAAATAATTCCTATAGGGAAGACATTATGATGTGAATAAGAGCATAAAATTCCTTCAAAATGTTACTGGTCTGTCCAAAACAGTAGAGGTAAATGTGGAGTTGCGGTTTTATATGTTTTATTACATCTTTATTCTGTCATGGTTTGTTCCAGTGTACGCCCATACTGTATTGGTTTCTCCCTGAGTTTTCCCGCCTTTCCCCAAGTGCTGGTTTCCCTGGAAGGTGCCAAGTCATTCCCCTGCCCCCTCCCAAGTGCCTTGTCTGTCACTCGGTGTCCCTTCCCCTCCCTCTGGAAACTTCCATCCAGGGCACCGAGTGATTGGATGAGGTCCTGGGACCCCTGCCCTGTCCATCCCTCACTGGATCCCCCAGATGTCAATCCTCACAGAGTCACTCCTGTCTGTTCCCCACTGGCTGATCGGCTCCCTCCCTCTCCCTGTGTAACCTGTTGCCAGCACCCCCGAGTTGCATTTGTTGGCTGGCCCCCTCCGGTGCTTTTGGATCCACAGGACCCCAATAAACATCGGATTTTTGCCCCCAACAAGCGCCTCTCCTCATTTCCTCGCCGTTGGAATCGGCAGCGACCTCAGGACCCACCAAGCACTCTCCAAAGCCCAGCCGGGTACAGCGGAGGTGCTTCCACTCGCCCCGCAGGAGAGCTAGCCGGGGCTGAGGACAGGGGGCTGGGGCGGGGACGCGGCTCCCCGCGGCAGGTAAATTAAACTCATTTTCAGAAGGATTTCTTTAATCTGTGGTTCCCAGGTCAAGAAGAGTTGAAGCTAACCTACTAGAAAAGGAGTTTGCTGCACTAGGCTTAATAGGAAACAATTTTCTTCAGTGAAAGAGTAAACCAAATAGGGTGCAGCTGAAGGAATTTAATTTTGTAGCTATGACTTCCTCAATCTTTTTCCAGTGGATGGGTAACTTTTCTCTCATAACTGTAGACTGCAATGAGGATCTCACTACAGACTCAGTGCAGACATACTGTCTACACTTGAGGCTGCCTTTCTTATTTCTTAGCAAAACTTGTGTTTCTCCTGCCCTTTTTTCCAGGCTAGCATTGCATTGAAGTTTCTAAGAGATGCAGCACACCCTCTTCCTTTCCTCTTCTTTATTTTTCAGACTTTATTTTTACACCTTGTCTCTTAATATTTCTCTTCCAAACTTACAAATTGGAAAAACTTCTCTCACCTTTACACATTTTCTTTCACAAGCTGTTTAAATCAGGAAAAGGCCCGTGGGACTCCTTGGTGTTTGCAGTCATGTATGTCTGTTATAGCTGAGAAAAGGTAAATGTTATGAATGCATGATCTTTGATAATTTTTTTAAACCATTTGAATTTAAGTCCTACCAATCAATATATTCTTTTGGTTTTCTTGTAAGTCTTTCACCTTAGACTTGTAAGTTGAGTGTATCATACTCAAAATTCAATCTAGACTTCATGGGAGGGAAAAGTCATTACAAAAGGTAATTTTTACAGACACCCAGTTCCAGGAATGTGTTTCACACACCTCTCCTGTGAGCAGATAAAAAAGCCACAGAAAAACTCTAGTATGAAGGTGTTGCTCTGTAGTGAAAATTTTGGGGCCCTTTCTTTAGAAGAATTAAAGGCAGATATTTGAACTGATGCTTCTCTGACCTACAGTTTCAAGAGGTGCTATGTGAAATGTAAGGGATTTCAGACTACAGACCGGGGGGCGCAAACAGCTGCATGGGGAAGAAGCTTTCAAGCTCACCCCTCCGTGGTGTATTAGAGAGCTGTATAACTATGGCCACCAACTAAATATTGCCCATTTGGGCCTCCTGTCCAAGGAGCAGCCAAAACACCCAGGGCCTCATAGCTCACAGCTCCTGCAGGAGAAGACACATGCCATGCTGCTCTGGGAAAAGAAGTAAAATGGCAAGGTAAGGACAAAGGCAGGTTTTACAAAAACAAACTATAACACAGACCCTTTCCCCTTGTCAAAAAAAACAAGTTGTTGCTGGACCTCTCCTTGTGGCCACCGTTGTCTGGATCACGTCCCTTTTTCACAAGTGCAAACCGCAGGGCCAAGTGAAGGACGGCGATTCCAGCCAGAGCCCAGAAGTGCCACCCGAGCAGGCCACCCCAGGCCCCACCGCTCTGCTCCTGCTCCATCTGCTCCAGCTCCTGAATCAGCTGAGTCGTCTGCTGGTTCAGGTAGTCAGCACGCTGCTGCATGCGCTCCAGTGCGGCCTCATCCAGCCCATCCCCGGCCTGCTGCGGGTACAGGATGAGGCCTGGCACAAGCAAGAGAAGGAGCGGAATGGCAAGCATGGTCTCGGGCAGTGAGCAGGGCTTCAGTGGGGATGAGAGGGAGCTACTGCTAGGGCAAGTGGGGACAGGAGCCCCGGGTTTCTGAAAGCAAGAAAGAGGCGGCCAGGCAACTGGCAGGCTGCCAGACCTGTGCCTCTGCCCCA